CAAACAGCCCAGGAGCGACTCCCTCAGAGTTTACTGGCCCTGAATCCAGAGTGAGGTGGGACACAGAAGGGTCCCTGTGGCTGCTGGGGCTGTGAAATGGACCCACAGGCTTCCCCTCCAGCAAGGAAGATGTGGCAGGATGGAGGAGGGTGGGCAGGAGGTGAGGACACCCATGTCCTACCTTGATGTCGTTGTCGATGCCTCCAGAGATGATCTGATCACTGGTGTCATTGAAAGTCACAGCCAGGACCTGGTAGGTGTTCTGAAAGGTCTGGACAGCAGCTTTCTTCCTGATATCCCACAGCTGAAAAGACAGGGCACTTGGAAAAGCTGCAGAGAGAGACTGAGTGGAAAAACAAGGAGCTGTACAGGTGGTTGGAATCCTCCCTTTGGAGCTCAGGAGAGCTCCAGGAAAACAGAGTCACAGAGTCAGTCTGGTGTGGTGGGAGCACAGGGGGGAATGGGGGTGGTGGGGGAGAGGTCAGGGACTTCTCATCCTTCTCAGGCTCTGTCAGTGGAGAAAACACATCTGAGCAAAGGAACCTTCTCCATCCCCTCTAAGGAATTACAGAAAGAGAAGTCACATTTTACCTCAATTTTTTAATATCTGAACTCGAAGGCTTTAGATCATGAAATCCTAACAGCAAGGAGAGGCTGAATTTAGCCCAATTGAAGGGGAAGACCCCAAAAAATCCTTTCCAGCACCCCACCTTCACTCCCATTCCTGACTGACCTTGACTGTCCCGTCGTCGCTGCCCGTGCAGACCAGCTGGGGGCCCCTCCTGGCAGGGTAGCAGGAGTTGACAAAGGACGTGTGGCCCTTCAGCCTCTTCACCCTCTCCCCAGTCTCACTGTCCCACACAGCCACGGTTTTGTCCGTGGAGGCAGAGAAGAGCATGCTGGGGAGAAGAGTCACCATCAGGGTCTCCATTTTGGGGAAAGATTTCTCCCCTCTCACCTTTTGTTTGACTCTCAGGTTCCATGTCTGAAGCTGGAAATACTCAAGGGGGGAAGAATCTTCCCCTGTGTGGCAGGACAAAGGGGGTGCCTCAGGCAGGCTGGCTGCCAGGGGAGCAGAGGAACTCCCACAAACCCCACATCTAAACTGGTTTTCCACCTCCTCAACCACCACTTTGAGTGACTGGGAGCTGGAAAACTTACACTGGAACAACACTGGAAGGCACTTTTCAATGAGCAACCCTCCCCCTTGTTTCCTCTCCCTCCCCAGTGCCCCACACGACCTCCCCAAGGCAGAAACCAAGCACAGTGCTGGGTCATGAGTGACCCCAGGTCCTTTCTCTGACCCTCAGGCAGGCTCCTGGGTGGGGAAGCTGCAGCAGGAGCGTGGGGGGATGGGGTGCTGGGGGGCAGAGGGGCCCTCCCCTCCCTGCTGACCTGCCATCAGTGTTGTAGTGCAGCTCCATCACGGCCCCACTGTGCCCCTTCAGCGTGGCAAAGTTCTCACAGTCCCCATAGACGTTCCACAGCACTGCAGGGAGGGGAGGCAGAGGTGAGCAGGGGGCACAGGGGGGTGGAGCTCACCCCCAGGGAGCTGGGCAGGCTCCAGGAGTGGGACGGTGTGGACTTGAGGAGGTTCAACCCAGCCAAGGGCAAGGTGCTGCCCCTGGGTGAGGGAAACCCCTGGAATGGGCCCAGGCTGGGGGTGAGGGGCTGGGGAGCAGCCCTGGGGGTGCTGGGGGGGAGGAGATGGCAACGGGG